TTTTGGACAAACCAGCAGGGAAGAAAAGTACATCACACACACAGAGACACGCATTTCACGCATTTATTATTTTTATATGAGGATAATAAAAATAAACTTCAAAACAACAACAAAAAACAAAAAACAAAAAACAAACAAACAAACAAAAAGAAACAAAACCAAAAGGAAAGAAATAAAGAAGGGGAGAAAAGAAGTAAAAGAAGAAGAAGAAAAAAAAAAAAAGAGAATACCTACTGAGAGAGAGAGAGGGGGGGAAGGGTGTAGGGAGGGGTAGAAAACAACAACAAGGGAAGAGTTGAGGGGGGTAGCAACAACAGCCACACAATAATGTTCATTGCAGTAGAAATAGTATTTTAGCAGAATTAGTACGGATGGAAGGCGGAGGGATTATAAATGCATGACGGGTATGTGCGTGTAAAATGTATTAACTTTTTATGTATGGACATTTGTCTCTCCTTTTTTTTTTTTTTTTAACTGTTGGATGCTACCCCTTTTCCCACTTCTCCCCCTACAGGCACACTCTTCCTTTTTTTTTTTTTTTTCAGTCTCTCTCTCTTTTTTTTTTTTTTTCTTTTGTTTCTGTTTGTGTACGACTGATGTACTCATTGCACCCATAATTCACACTGTGGGCACCCGTTGTTGTGTATGGCGTGCATGCATGCATGTACGTTGATGGTGGTGGTGGTGGGCTCCCGCAGGAATAGACGAATTGCATGAGAGAAGAAAAGAACCCTCTTTTCCCCCCCTTTTCCTCTCACTCTCTCTCTCTCTCTCCCCCCACAGTCAGACAGGCACACACACACACAGTCATGCACAAGTTTGCATTGCGAGAAGGAACATCGCCCTCCTCCCCCTTCCCTTCAAACACACGCACAAACAAAAAAAAAAGAAAAAAGAAAATATAAAGAGCGAAAGCAGAACAAAGAAAAAAAAAAAAAAGTAACAAACAAACAAAGACCAGAAGGAACCATTACATACACACAAACGAGGAAAAGAGAAGAAAGGGGGTTGTAGGAGGGTGGAGAATAAAAGAGGGAACAACAACAACAACAACAAATAAAAAAGGAAAGGGAAGAGGGGGCGTGTGTGTGTGCGTGTGTGTGTATTTGAGATGTGTGAAGAAATAAATAATCTTTATATATATATATATATATATATATATACCTTTACATCAGTATCCCTCCCTCCCTCCTGCAGTTCATACACCCATCCACCTACGCCCATGCGGACAGCCACAGACGTACACACAAGCATGCATGCTTAAGGTGCATATATGCACGGGTGGGTGTTTTTTTTTTTTTTTTTGTGTGTGTGTCGACGCATGTAAATAACTGTGCGGGGCGGGGGAAAAGGGGGCGGGAGGCTTCAGCGCCACTGACTGTCGTTCCGTAGGGGGGAAGACAAAAACAAAAAAAAAAACGGGGCACACACACGCGCGCGAGGAAAAAAAAAAAAAAACCCCCCCAAAAAAATTAAAATTAAAATTCAAAGAAAATTTCACTCCCCTCCTCCTCCTCCTCCTCCCCCCCCCCAAAAAAAAAAAGAAAAAA